CGTGCAGTGAGTAGTCGGTACCTTTATGAAGACTTACCGGCGCCGGCTTCCTTAAGGGATATGCGATGTGTGACGCACGAGGGGCGTGTACGGGACCGCGACGACCCGGCAATGTTTGAGGAGATTAGGAAGTATTTGCAGGAAGGGGAACTTCCTGAGAGGTGCGCAAACGATTCTCGAGTACGCGGCACATTCGTGCGACTGGCGCGGTCATTCATATTGAATGATCGCCGTCTCTGGCGGGTCTCCAAAGGAGAACTGCCAAAACTCGTGGTACTGGACGTGGAAAGGCGGCGGGAAATTATAGCCGAGGCCCACAATGACTGTGGTCATCGCGGTCGTGACCCTACCTTCCGAAAGGTTGCAGATAGGTTCTGGTGGCCGAATCAATATGATGAAATCGCGTTCTTTGTGCGGTCTTGTAACGCGTGCCAGTACAGGGCAAAGTCTCGTTCGCTGCTACCATCCCTCCCACACCGGTTAGGGTCGTATAGCGCCAAGACTGGAGTCGTCGCAAAGAGCCACTTAAGCTCATCGAAGGCGTGTTGCTCCTCTTCGCCCCAATGCCATGGGTCGTTCCCTGTGAGTTGGTCGAGTGGTTGTGAAATCTTAGCAAAGTCTTTGATGAAGCAGCAGTAGAAGTTGGAGAACTCCCGGAACTGCTGAACATCCTTTTTGTTTCGGGGTACCGGCCACTCATTGATTCCTTTTAGCTTCACGGGATCCATTGCTACCTCATCGCCACCGAACACATAGCCGACGTAGTCGACCTTGGGAACGTCCCATTCGCACTTCTCAGGCTTCAGGAATAGATCATTGTCCTGAAGGCAGTGTAGAACCTCACGTGTGACCTTCTCGTGCTCCTCTTTGTTGGTGGAAAAGATGAGTATATCGTCCAGGTACACAAGGATCTTGCCGCCAATGATGAGATCGTGGAAGATCTTGTTCATCATTGCCTGGAAGGTCGCGGGGGAGCTGGTGAGGCCAAAGAACATTGCCAGAGGTTTGTACAGCCCTCGGTTAGTCACAAAAGCCGCCTTCCACTCGTCACCGGCTTTGATCTGGACATTGTTGTATCCCCATCGGACATCGAACTTTGTAAAGAGCATAGCGCCGCGGAGCTTATCCACCATCTCGGCGATCAACGGCAGGGGGTAACGATTCTTGACTGTGATCGCGTTCAACCGGCGGTAGTCCTGTACGGGTTGAAGCGTCCCTTCCTTCTTTTTGATGAAGAAGAAAGGGGACGAGATTGGCGACTTCGATTCCCGTATGTAGCCCTTTGCTAGTTGCTCCTTCAGGAACTTGTCTAGTTCCTCCTGCTCGTTGTTCGAGAGTGGGTATACTTTCGAATGGAATGTCGAGTAGCCAGGTACGAGTTCAATCGCATAATCGTACGGCTTCCTTTTGGGTAGTCGTTGTGATGCTTCCTTCGAGAAGACCTTCAGAAACTCGTGGTACTGTTTAGGTACCGACTCCTCAGCAGTCTTAATGACCTTCTTTTTGATCTCCTCCTCAGCAAACAGTTGGGAGTACATATGCCCTGCTGCAACAAACAGCTGAGGGGCACCGGGAAGTGTGATACCTTGCTCCCAGGCTTCAATCAAGTCGGCCTCATCCCACTCTACTTCCATCGGATCTTCTTTGGGTTCGAAGTCCGGGAGTACCTTACTCCGGCAAGCGTCTATAACTGACCTTTTGGACTTTGGCGAACGCCTGCGCGCCGTGGGCCTGACCCCCGTATCACGTGCAGTTGCTGCTTGCTCCATTCGACCAGTCCTCCTGGCACTGCACATTTCAGGACATCATGATAACTTTAGGGAGCCCAATTCCCAATCTATTTTGGGGTTGTGCTTGTGTAGCCAATCCAACCCAACAATCACATCCTCTGGACCGATGTCCGTGACCGTAAACACCATCTTCTCGACGTGTTCTCCTATCTGCATCTGTAGCACGGCTACTTCCAAGATGCTTCCATCTTTATTGAGGGTGCCATCAATATTGTACAGTGGAATTGGCTCTTTCAATTTCCGTGTTTGCACCTTATTTTCTGTAACAAATCGCTTGTTGATAAACTTCGTGGTGGCTCCGCTGTCCACCATAGCGATTATGTCCTTGTGCCGTCTTTTCCCTTTAAGTCGAACTGGAATGTGGAAATGTTGGGACCCATGGTCCAACTCGTACACCATTGCAGAAGACAATACGTTATACTTGTTACATGATATACCCGGCCCGACACGTGCAGCACGAAGCACGGACCGGATCAAAAACCCTCCTCCTTCATCGCCCGATAGTGTTCGAGCTCCTCGCGCATCGACTTCATCTGTGCCATTAAGTCCGCCAGCTCGGAACTTTCCGATTTTGCTGAAGCAGCGCTTGTATTCACCAAGGATGAAGCGACGGGGGTGCTTGTCACGGCCTGGGTAGAGCCTGAGGCAACTGTAGCCTGCGCATTGGCACGTTTTGTGTAAGGTTTGTCCTTACAATTGGGGCACTCAAAGCATCGGTACCCTTGCTTCCCACAGCCGTAACAACTGCCGGGGAAGTTTCCTTTTCTGACAGCCGCACTGATGCTGGCCGAAACTGCGTGTGACTGGGGTGCACCACCACGTGCCCCTCCGCGTCCTCAACCTCGGGCCAAGAAGAAGTTGTTTAGCTCAGGCCAACGGGCCCGGCTGATGTCGAGAATCTGCTCGACCTCAGTGGTTCGCTTTTCAGCGTCTTTCCACGTGGTGAAGGTCTCGAGCTCGATCTTGCAATACACGCGGGAGGGGATGCCGCTCAGGTACTTGTCGCGTAGCTCCAGGTCCCCATACCCAAAGCGATCCGCCTAACCCTTGAACAATGGAGAACTCCACAGCAGTGCGTTTTTCACGGACTGATTTGTCCGCGCAGAGCTTCGCCAGCTCTACTTGTGCCGCTGCCTCGTCATCGAGATTTCCGAAGCGGGCCCTGAAGGCGGTGGCAAAGGCCGCTTCGTTTGCGAATGGGGTCGTGGCCCCTTGCACACCCACCTGCACCGATGCGAGCTGGGCAAAGTAGGGAGTGGCCCAGGCGCGGGCATCTCCATTGAGCAGGCTGAGAGCGACCTGCACCTTAAGCTCGATGGTGGTCAACAATGTGTTGACCAGCCAGTAGATGCGCAGCTGCGACAGGAACCGGTTGCATTCGATGACTGTTTTGCCATCGTATCGGAGTGGGAGGAGAAGTTTCAAAGTCTCCTTGTCGGGGGCGGCTGCAGGGGACGACATTATCGGCGTTGGGGGGGACAGAGGACGCTGCGGGGGCGGAGGCGGCTGTGGTGGCCCTCCACTGGTCAGACTACGAGGGGAGCGAGTACACGAGCGGCCTCACAGCAGTGACGGCGGTGAAGGCGCTGGAGGAAGCCCGGAGGCGGGGTCACGTACGTCAGGGACTGCTGACATGGGGGCAAGTGCTGTCGGTGAGGCGGACCGAGCAGAATCTGTGGACTCGGACTCCGAGACTCCTTCTTCACCTGCACTCTCCTCAGGCTCAGGCTCTGGCACAGGGTCTGGAGGAAGATCTCCTCGTACTTGACTTGGACTGGCGACAGTTTGAGAAAGGCGGGAGCTGGGGGAGACAGGGCGAGAATGCCGCAAGGCGGATCAAGACACGAGGGTGCTGCGGGGACCAAGGGGGTGTTGAGCCCGTCTGATTGCCTTGTAGCGAGGGTAATCCTCCTCAATCGATCGGGGTGTCCGATTTGGGCACGGCTGCTGTTTGCAATGGTAGAGGACAGTCTCAGTGTCACGAGTTGGTACGGCGCCTAGCCGTTTTTTAATTTTTTCCTTTTCGCGGGCTCGAACCCATGACCTCTGTACTACCTGCCTGATATGGACGCGTCACTATCTACTGTACGATTAGATTAGATGGGGCGGCAGCGCACGGCACAGCTCGGGCCCCGCTGACATAGCCGCTCTGACTCACTGGCCCCTGGGGCCGCGTCGGCATGCTGCGCACAGACCAGCTGCGCACGGACCAACGTGCACAGCCTGCCCTAATCTCCCCATGTATATAAGCCGGCCTCTGCTGCCCTAGGGACCTCAGTTTCGACCTCTTGTCCCTAGGTCAGTAAGCCCTCATTTGTATTCCTTTCCTACCTTACTAACTAATACATTCACTTGTCCCTAGCCTTAGGTTTGAGCCTCGCTCACCATCGCTTCGGTGAGAACCAGTCGGACGCCCCTTGCTTTTAGGTATTCCCCTATCGCTTGACCTCAAGTCACGACATTAGGTCGAAACTCCCCAAGCAACCGGCGTTCTCTCTCGGAACCCACACACTCACACTTTCCTTTCCCATAGGTCGGGTGGTGCGCACCCCTATGGTACATTACGATACGTAGATAGCGTACATACATCGCCAACACTCAGGGAACGAACTCTTCAATACCTGCACTTCAGTGGGCGGTATTTGTCCTCACGGACGCGTGGACTAGGTTCCTGCTGCATAATAGTCAAAAGCAGTACTGGGCCCCACATGAACTGCGAACCCTAGTGTCTTCTCGGGCGCCGTAGCGTAGGCTAGTGTAGCACGGCCATTGTAGTACGCGCACCTCCCCGTCCTCTCCCCATCCATCGTGGCTGCCTGTCAAGGCCAGATCCACGCATTCGACTCTCAGGACCTCATCGACGTCTACATCCCAGACGGCCCTGAGACTATCCTCTATCGTTGCGAGCAGCAGCCGTGCCCCAATCGGACACCCCGATCGATCGAGGAGGATTACCCTCGCTACAAAGCAATCCGACGGGCTCAACACCCCCTCGGTCCCCGCAGCACCCTTGCGTCTCGATCTGCCTCGTGGCATTCTCGCCCTGTCTCCCCCAGCTCCCGTCTCCCTCAAACTGTCGTTGCCGATCCAGGTCAAGCGCG